GTTTGTACTCAGATATTTTAAGCGCCTGAGCGTTGGCGGAGAATTGAACACGTTTCCAACCAACTAAGCAAACTTAACGCCTTTTGGTCTTTTACAGAATGACGAAGCTGATGACGATCACGATGAATCAGGCAGCGAAGAAGACGAGGAACCGAAGACAAAACGACAAAAGAAATCAAGAAAAGAAGGTGGTAAAATAGACAATAAACAAAAGAARTCCCAACAGAAAAAAGAGAATATTTCACGCCAGACTAATGAAGAAATGCCTGACGTAGAGGATATTGTTGAAGATTTTCACTTCTCCTCTGACGAAGATAATTGATACCMWGGAAGTTTCGATRTTCTGTTGGTTAGAATCTTSWTTTTTCGTATTRCGGAAGAACAAAATTTACTCTTACRGAGGGTGATGTCATTTAAATACGTTAATAGATAGACCTCCTCTGCCCTGTCCTAATGTTGTCCCATTTCAGACCACGTTTCATTCTCTAGAGTATCAGTTCTTTGTTTAAGGCCCCGTCCACACGTGTGCGGAAATTTTTGTATCCGTATCCGCAAATTTTACGAAAAYGGAYACGTGTGGACGGTGAAAACGATTCGAATACGCTGCGTGTGGACGCAAACATTTTCGTATCCGCAAAAAATAATTTGCGGATACAAAAATTTCCGGATACGTGTGGACGKGGCCTAAGGTTTGCGCTCGGTTGCACATGAGAAGACACATGAATATGGATACAACTCAAACAAAGAATATTATTCTCAAGACCATGTGCCATTCCCTAGAGTATCATTTCTTTGTTTAACGGTTGCACATGAGAAGACACATTAATATGGATACAACTCAAACAAAGATATTATTCTCAAGACCATGTGCCATTCCCTAGAGTATCATTTCTTTGTTTAACGGTTGCACATGAGAAGACACATTAATATGGATACAACTCGAACAAAGAATATTATTCTCAAGAGAATGACACGTGGTCTAAAATGGGACAACATTACGCTCGAGCCGAGGAGGTCTATTTGGCGTGTTTTTTTCTTATTTCAGACCACGTGTCATTTACTAGAGTATTATTTCTTGGTTTAATGGTTGCGCATGAGAAAACATGSATAYGACTCAAACAAAAAATCTTATTCTCAAGAGAATGACACGTGGTCTGAAATGGTAAAATATTACACCCACTACGTAAAGAGCTTGTGCGTGAAGTTTTGTAACGTGTCATTCACAAGAGTATCATTTCTTAGTTTAACGGTTGCGCATGAGAAGACACACATGAATATAGAAGACAAAAAATCTTATTCTCAAGAGAATGATACGTGGTCTGTAATAACAAAATTATTTCGCCTACGCTAAAAGGGTGCATTTTTAAATAAACTAAGCACAAATGAGCTTTGCATTTGTGGTCAATATACTTTCTTTTCCGACACAAGCGAACAGCAATATTCATTCACTCATTCAGTATGATATTTTTTTCGCGTGGCTCATTGCAATGCATTTGGGGAATGTTTTAGAGGACGTGCCCTAAAACAGYCCCAMAATGCATWGCAATGCGGTTAACKTAATTWAGCCGCCATTTTTACYGTTTTTATTTCCGTTTTATTTGCGTTTCCTGTGCTTAGAGAAAAAGCCTTCCCCCCTCATTAGTTTGGTGACTAAAACGAGTATTTACAGCGTGGACGCACTTCAGATATATCGTGCCTACAAAATACTCAAACAACCCGACAGTTATTCTCATTGAGGATGACAAAMCCCTTAAAAGCATGTCAATCACGCGATATCACATGACGTCATCACGTGACCCAAAACMATTTCTATAACACTATTTTTTGTCTCTATTTCTGTCTTTCTTTTCCCCTGCTGTTTTTCAGTCGTAATTTCAGTCGTTTTTTTCGCGAAATAAAAAAAAAAAAAACGTTTTTCCGAAACGACTTAAATTATTTGATACAATCTATGTACGAATTAGAAGCTCTGTTACTCCGCCATTTTTTTAAATTTTACTTATTTATTTATTCATTTTTCTTTATTTTTACTTYAAATTTTTTCAAAGATGATTGCTCAATGTTCCTTTTTTTAATACTCATTTTTGTTGATTTGAGATGCGATTAAAATTATCTTAAAATGCGAGTAAAACTGCCCTCCTTCGATGTCAATTATCGGCGATACCCTTTAATTAAAATATCACTAATCAGYTATATTTCCTATTAAATAATTCCTTTAAATATTCCTGGATTATTTATCAATTTGCAGCTTCACTTGATGTCCAGTTAAAATGAACTACACTCATTTTTGAGCTTAAAAACGCTTTGATTTTCCCGGATTCTAATTTTAGTTTTAAATTGAAATATAATTAAGATTTAATAACCGCATGGATTTTTTACGGCGTGAGTCTTAACAGSGAGCGAATTTACAGTTTTGCAAATCACAATCGCAAACATAACACATTTTTATCGATGAACTTTCGTTGCTATTGAAACTAATGGGTAAAAAAATATAACTTCATTACAATATTGTTTGCTGTCTTAAAACTGCGTCATGAAGCATCATGTGGTATAATCACGATTATTTAATACTCCTTGTAAAACCTTTGGTTCAAATTACAAAGAAAACGTAGCTTTAGTATTCAGAGCTGTTCAATCAAGAGCAAATCCGCCATGTTGTTTTTTCCCGCCTTTCTTGYTGTACATCTCGTGGTTGCTTCTTTCGTTTCTCTGACGGTTAAAGCAGGTAAGAACTTTATTCTCTATATGTTAAAAACACATTTCATAACTTCATTTTCGTTTCCAAATTGTCTTATTTCTCCAATACTTTTGTAACTGTATTTTTAATCACTTATTTTTTAGTGTTTTTCGGTGAGAAAACATTGCTTGGGGAACAAAATTAAACTTAAGCTAAACAAAACCTATTGAATGGCATATGATACAGTTAACTTATAAAAGATAAATTTGGTCAAAGCTAGGTAGAAAAAAGAAAATATATATTATATATATCTATGTATATATATAGTTCGTCTTGCAAACGTAAGTGAAATTTTGGGATGAAGTTGTCGACTGCCCCAATCGTTTTACTCTTGAATTTAAAATTCCTATTTGATTTTTTTTTATTATAGTTTGAAGACAAATCATTTGTCCTTCTTTAAAACAATATTTCGAAGAAATATAGTTATTATTCTTAAATATTCGACACATTTCAATTCTCTGAGTTTTTTTATCGTATCGTGCATGTAGGCGTCGCTATTCGTTAGTAAAACAATACTAATGTATATAATAAATTCGTGTTTAAACRGTAAGAGGAAAATCAACTGAAATGGTTAATCATCGTGTTAAGAAAGAACAGCTTTAAAAAGCTGTTTTTAATTTTTTTTAAACAATTTATAAAAAAGACTCGAGATTGAAGAGGAGAGTAATAAGTGAAATTGTTAAATCGTTGCCTTCCCTCCCTCCCTCCCTTCCTTCCTTCCTCCCTTCCTTCCTTCCTTCCTCTTTCTTTCATTCATTCTTTCTTTCATTGACCAATTCCGTTTTATTTTTCACTTTCATTAACTCACTCTTTCTCAACTTCCCATTCAGTATCCCCTTTTATCTCCGTTTTCCCTTTTCTTCAGTTTTGTCTATTATAAAATTTTTTTCTAATATAAAGCAAATTTGTTTAACAATTCTCTAAGTTAAGAGATTGATCTAATCACAAGCAATGAGAGATCGAGTAATTTACATCCTCAACATGCAATCAATCCTCGCTAAGTTCCGATTAAATAAACACAGARTTGTAATTTAGTCTAATCCATGTGGAAGATTYAACATGCAATCAATCCTCGCTRAGTCCTGATTAAATAAACACWGARTTGTAAATTAAACTAAGCCATGYGCAATATTTATTGAGAAAAGAATTCTAAATTTCTTTCTTYATAGGATGCTTTAGATTATCCTTAGCTACAAACTGATTGTTATTTAGGATGTTATTAACTATTTGAGAATTGTTTTTAATTCTTTAGAAAAAATATTTATAGAGAGAACAGAACTCGCTGAATTGCTGCGTGCTTYCTCGTTCGCGATAGTAAAATGTTTGATCGTATTTTAATTGAGATGACTCTCTATCCGCTTTACKTTTCCCTCCCTCTGTATCCCTGTTTCTTTCTTGTTCGTTTGTTCGTTCGTTATATTTCTGTTTTATTCTTACGTTCCTTTGTTTGTTTGTTTGTTGTTCGTTCGTCCGTTTACTTGCTTCTTTGTTCGTTAATAATTTTTATCTGTTCGTTTATTTGTTTGAAATCTTTAWCTGTTTGTTTGTTTGCTCGTTTTTTGTTTTTTGTTGTTTTTCTTTTTTCGTTCATGCGTTATCTTTAGATTGTTCGTTCTTTACGTTCGTGTTATAATAACACTCGTAAATCTAAAGCCCCTCCTACACGGGATATTGCACTCGTTCACATCAKTACTCCTAAAGGCCGAATTAGACGGTACGATTTTCGCCTATAACCATCGCATGCAACCTGTTAAGACATGACTTAGGTTAGATCCACACGCCTACCACATTTTACCTACAACTCGCTACGTGTTTTGTATCTTTTTTGAAGTAATCAGTTTGTTTGCAGTTGAATAAAACACTCTCTTTACTCCAGAGACCGATTAAAAGATCAAAGTCTTCATCAGTAAAACTAACTTTATCTTTTTTTGCCTTCGTCTCACTTGGTGGGTTTGTTTTTGTTGGCAAAATCGGTGTTGTTGTTGTTGTTTTGTCCGACATTTTTATCGCCCCACGGACTCCCCCACAAATTTCCCCACAGACTCCCTCACGGTAGGGTATTTTGAGCAAATTTCGCTACGACTATCGCAGGATTTTAAAACACGTTTAAGAAACTCTACAAGTTTTTTGTAGTCGCACACAACAGACTTGAGTGAGTTGTAGGACAGAATTACACGACACAACTCATGTCGTAAGTATGACGTGAACAGGTTGCATGCGATGGTTGTAGGCGAAAATCGTGCCGTCTAATTCGGCCTTAATCTTCCACTACCACTAATCTTTAATTGTTCTCACGTAACAGGGCTTTGATGATTTTTATTAAAAAATTAATTAGAATTAGATAACTGTCATAGTGATTTATAATCTTCAGTAAAACAATTTAACGAAACAGAATGGGTCTCGTTAGTTTGAATTTTGGTTGGCATGGTTGGAAGATTAAGTGTGAATTTTTGATTAACATCAGTTTTTGAATTTACTTCCAATTTAATTTTTGTATTTTCATTTCACGTGTGTTTGAAGTAAAACAAAGTAAAGAACGAGAAAAGAAGGAAAGAAAAAAGAAAGAACGAAAGGAAARGAAAGGAAAGGAAAGGAAGRAAGGGAAGAGAAGGAAAAAGAAGTACAGAGAAAAGAAGAGGAGGAGGGGCGATAGAATAGAAAAGAGAAATGAAACAATGCAAGGAAAGGACAAAAATACAAAGTTAGAGAAAGGAAAGAAGGTAGGGAAGGAGGGAGAGAAGGAAGAAGAGAGTAAAAGCGAAAACTAGACTATCAAGCAGAAGGTACAGGAAAACAAAAAGAAAAGATAGTAAATCTGAAATATAATGAAAACGAGAAAAAGATATCAAAGTTTAAATAAAAGCTACAAAAAATCCATTAAAGAAAGAAGTTGTACCAAGAGGTTAATGATAGCACTTAATGTGCTTCTTTGCTAGATGTGAGTAATACTTGTGAAGATGCACTCAAACGCTCTACCAATCTATGCCAACGATGGAAGCAAGATGGATTGTGTGGAGAGGCAAAAGTAAGAGCCTTCTGTTCAGAATCCTGTAATCTCTGCCAAAATGAAGGTAAAAACAAACAAGACTTAATTTCTAGTTGGTTAAGATTTGTTTACGTATGGCTTTTTATTTTTACTGTTTTATTTTTTACGACATCTGTTTTACTTGAATAAACTAGATGAAGACGGTTCCGAGT